TTGGCCGGGGAATGTCCACTTCGGAAAAAATCGTACGTATGGTTTAGGTGCTAGTGATGTTCACAGACTGACAAGCGAACGGATGTTTTGCAGTCAATTGTTTTTCCGTATCAAGGATCCCCAGTGATTCTGGCTACACCACCTGTTAGAGGATTTTTTCTTAATTTAGCAACTGGATTTATTCACTTTTCAGTTGTCAGCTCAATTCAATGAATTTTTTTCTGCCGAAAATCCACCGTTTTTTCGCGTAGCATCACCTAACATTCCCTATAATACGTTTTTACTCCGGATATACGTATGCATACGGGAAAGTAACTAGGCATTAGTTTATCTAAATGTGCAGGTTGAGAATATAATGGACCAGAAGTTATGAGTGGAATTTATAATGATGTTCCAGAAAAAAATAGATGAATTTGACAATATATTGCCGTGCTCATCATTTAAATCTTGTGCTTAATGATCCCATGACTGGGACATTAGAAGCTCAGACATTTTACTGTTTGCTGAAACAAATTTGTTTTCTTTTTGTCGTAGCATTAATCGTTGGAAAATATTACCAGCAGTGAGAGAATTATATGATTTTATTAAAGAGAATCTTTTACGAAACTGTGTATGCCCTACGTAAAGGATGAGATAGTAAGTAACCCTGATAAGAGTAAAAAGGTCCCCTAAACCAAATGACATATTGGTAATGACACTATAATTCTAACATAAAAATAACATTTTTGAAAGGTTTCTTAGCCCTTGGACGATGACTCACACCCATCTACAGTCAAAAGCGTGTTTGTTTGTTTTTTTTAAATTTTTTTCGCCAACTTAACACTTTTATCTCGCTGAAAAAAATTCTGAAAAATATGATCATAATTCATACTATCATAAAAACACTTTTTGATATTTTCAGCTCTAAATTCACATGCAAAAAATTTTTTTTGAAACAAAATTTTACTGTTTTAGGCCCCTGAAACAGGCTTCAAAAAATCTCAAAAGTTCGTTCTAAACAAGAAATTGTTATGAATTTTTGATATGTTTTGACTGCTCAGCGGTTGTTAAAAAATAAAACCATTTGTATACCATTTTCCCGCTTTTAAAGCACCCTGACTTTAAATGTACTTTGAAAATGTCTGCAGCAGTTCTGGACATTTATTTTAGTGTTTATTATACATTTCTATAATTTGTTGTAGCATTCAGTAATATTTTGACTTGGTTATTTGTAACAAATTACCATGTTTTTAAAGCTTTCTAATCATTCGTATATCATACCCTAACGAAAGACGATAGTTTTTGGCAGTTTATATAACAAACTGTCGACACTAAAACTTGTGTGATACTGATGAATAGAGAATTACAACCCAGCCCTACATCGAACATATTTCAGAAGAAACTAGTGGTGCTAAAACAGCGCATACTTTCTCGCTCCATAGAAACGGTTATGTAATAATATTACTCTCTGTATCATCACATCTCAACGATGAGCGCTGACAACATAGCGCGCATGCAGCGATGGGCGCTGCCAACAGTGGGCACATATTTTCTTATAAATTCTTCCTAAAGGTGACATTTTTGCCATAAATGGAAAGTGGTCCTTAGTTTGTGTAAAACCTGTATAAATTTAATTAATTCCAAGCAGAAATTACGCAAAACTACTCTTTTTTTTCAAAAAATTGTACATGACCCTTTTTGAAGAGCTAATTTTGTACAACAGATATTGTCTGAGGCAAAAATCGCTATCATTAATTTTGTAGTTTTGCAGTGTTGGCAATTTTAAAAAAATCGAGCGATGCCCGATAATATGAGTACCACCATATTTTTTATCGTCTTTTATTATATACGTGAAGGAAATTTAAAGAAAAAATTTGAAGCGGTTATTGAGAAATTTTATTTTGTAAAATTAAATAGCAAAATAAGCAAAAACTACAACTTTTTCAAAACAAATGTGCAAGAGCTTTTTTAACGTGCTAGTTTTGTACAACAGACTATGTCTGAGGCAAAAATCTTTATCTCCAATTTTGAAGTTTTAAATTTATTTTTCCAATTTTTGAAAAATCGGGTATGTCAACGAAAATGAGAGCTGCACCATTGTCTCGAATTTTTCATTGCTCAACATTTTTAATCAAAAATATTGGAGCAATTTTTTGAGAATTTTGAAAATGTCCCATGGGCTTTATATAAAATACCCCTCCCCCAAAATTAAAATATCGGTTTAAAAACAGGGCCCGCGAAAACAGCTAGAACGATTGGGGAATATCAATTTTGGAGAAAATCAGCAGAATGGTTTATGCACTAGCGTTGTGCACAGGTGGACGGACAGATAGACGTACTGCCGTCAATCTATTTTTGCGGTATGAAGAACGCACAAAACATGGATTCTGGTTACACCACATGTTAGAGGAATTGTTTTCTATTTTATCAACTGGATTTATCTATTTTATTCCTTACCAGGGCCCGGCAATAAGAGTTTTGTGTCGAAAATTCGCCGTTTTCCTGCGCACGATTACAATACTATTTCTTCTTACGTTAGTAAGAGCGAGAAAGTAAAAATAGGAATTTGCTGATTATGTCACAAAAACAAAAGATAATTGCAACACATCGCAAATAACTTGGAAGCGATGCTTCCTAGGTTTTTGAAACGCGGTTTGCGTGTCTCATTGGGACACGACGGATTTTTAGTGCACGTAAATTCTAACAGAAGACGTGTTTTGGGTGACGGTTACAAGACAAATGGGGAAATGATGAGGGACGGTTCGGGTGAAGGTGAAGGATAGTGGAGGAATGGAGACAGGTTTGGACCCAGATTATGTTCTTAAGCAATACTCTACTTAATACGACCTTTTAGATCGTTTCTTTTACAATTTTACAGATTTAGTTCTCTTGGGTACCCCCACTCTATAGCATGGGCGGACAGAAAAATGCAGAAGCCGAAATCAGTGTAAAAATAATTTGAAGAAAAATACCGAAATTATCTTTCACGATTAAATTAAAAAGGTCATTTTTATTTTCTGTGCATTTCAATCTCATATCTCAGCAATATTGGAATGGTTTCTGTCATATAGTATCGGGAGTTTCGGGGAACGGGCGTTCGCAGTTGGGTGCTATTTTAAATCCATTTTCAGATTTGTACAATTATTATTTACAAAGCGCGAGTTTTCGCACTTGTTCCGATTGGGGAACTTTTTCCATCGTATCCAAGGGCACCCTTTCATCGTCCTAAAGAGGTAGCAGAAAAAATATCTAATGGTCAACACGGAACGATTTCTTACTGGCTACAAGATTAGGGTATTTTAATAATTTGAAAACTTTATCTAAAGTTACATTTTCTAACTAAATGTAAGCGAATCAAGCTGAGAAAATAATTGTTTAAAATTGCCTACGTTTGACAGAAAAATACTCATATTTTCAAAAATAAAACATGATATTTTTTGAAGATCTGTTCCGGATGAACAGATTTCATTTTAAAAAAAAATCAGTTATAGTTGTTACAAGAAACCGAAAAAAGGTTTTGACTATTTTCGAAACTTCGGGAGATTTAACGAAAATGAAAGTTTAAAAAACCCCTAGAATTATTCAAATTCTAGAAACAAAGTAAAATTTAGCGATAAACGAGGGGAGAAAAAAAAAAAAAAAAAAAAATGAAACGTACATGTACGTAAACGAACTTGTTGAGTATCAACGACTCACTGATGGCAAACAAAGTTACAAACTTAATGTACTACACTATGGATGCCTAAATATTGCCAGTGTGAGGAGATGGAGTGACGACTTATTGGATTGACACATAGTGGCAATTTTAAGTCATTCAACCACATGTTTTGATAGCTCTCTCTGACGAAAATTACAGAGAAGCAGAAAAACGTTATCAAAAATAGTGCAGATGTTACAGAAAACTTGTCTCAGATATTGTCTTTGCGCATTGTTTAATGAATGAAATTTCAAAACTAAGATATGTTTAAGATCTTGCAAACTTATTAGTAATGAAACATTGCTGATTATTTACAAGTTTTCCCGGTGGGTGTTCTGAATTGACATTATTTTTGACAAGTGTCCAGGTCGCGAGTGCCGAAAGAACGTTTTCAAACTTACAGCTGTTTAAAATTATATTAGAAGTACAATGGCACACGACTGTCTGAATAATTTAAGTCTTTTATGAAGTGGTAATGAAAAACTGGTTGAAAAATAATATTCCTTCTGTTATTGATAAATTTGTAAGTGGCAAGGAAAGACCAAAATTAATACATCAGGAAATAGCAACAATTATTTATTACCTCTAGGTTTATTGTTTTCACTCATAAAATTAAATTAATGACATATCTTAATTAGAGGGCCCCTTTGTTGACCTTACACCACTGAGTGGTTGGACAAAACAGAGAGAAGCAGCACTAGAATTGTATGACCATCAAATATCAATCAAATTTTAAAGGGAAAATCCACAAAACTCTAGTGAGACCTGCCATATTGTATGGGGCAGAATGTTGAGAAAACAGAAGTTGCACGTAGTGGAGATGATGTTGCGGTGGAATTGTAGAATGATGCGAAAGGACGAATTCAGAAATAAAGTGATCAGAGGATCCGAGAAGATGCAGTCTAAGGTAGAGAAACTACAAGAAAGGCCACTTTGCTGGGTTGGGCACATTATGAGAAGACCTCTAGCATTTGTAGCCCACTAGTCAACTAGAGAGGAGTCAATAGAGAATAGGAAATGAGCATGGAGTGGATCATAAAGTGGAGAAATTCTGTGAAGGAAGATATGTGGCAGAACAGTGTCACAGTGGGTATGGCACAAAATAAAAATAGCTGGAGAAGCAATTGGAAATGCTGAGGCCAGCCAAATTGAGTAAGGTTTAGAAGTTAGTATTCAACCTTGATCAATTTAGATGATAATACTCGCATAACTTGATTCATATTCAAAATCAGTACTCAAATGCAGTTCTTAGTTAGATTGCAAGCAGATGGATGATTTTGTTTTGTTCACCTAACATTTGAAACAATGAAAATGAAATAATTATAATTCATTCACATTAGACCAATTTATTAACATCAGATACATATACACATATAAACAGCAGCGTTTGCTTTTGTTATTAAGAGGCAGTGCTACCTCTGCAACAACTGAGGCACAAGGTTTCTACAACGAGGAAGATTTATGAAGAAATTTTAACTATTAACTATATGTACACAATTTCTTAATAATCGTATGATTTATGACACCTGAATCCAGTCACATAAAATAATATGAATATTTGGTACAATAACTATTCAAAAATTTTCAGATATCTAAAAAATTATCACCAGTGCTATTACACATGAACACATTTTACCATTTATATAATTCAGAAAGTTGTTTTGACAATTTACTCAAATGTCTTTGAAGGAATAGGAAGTGTCAAGACTACTTACATAACACTATTTTAGCAGCAAAATGTTAATGTAAGAATTGTTTTCTGAAGGAATAAAACAGTGCTTGTCAATGTCAAAACTTCTTTCTGTTGGCAACTGGTAACAAATGGCATCTATCATTAACAAACCAATACCCTCACAATAATTTACTGTGGTTTCTTGGTTTTAATGTGCTTTCATAGGAATGAGGGTGTTTTATCCCTAAGAAGACATTCACATTCTGAAAATGCATTGCCTTCGCTTCATTCCCAAAGTTATTTGTACTTTTCTTTTTCATCACACACTATAAATGGTCCAATTCTCTGTAGTGTCTTATTCAGATCACCACACTTGAAACCCTGAGTAGTTGAACAGAACATTTAGCACAGATCAAATGCAAAAGTTAAACAAGTTGAATAATGCAATTCTTCTCATAAAAATGTATCAAAATATTTCTCCCACTTCCAATCAGTCAGTTCAATACAAAGAATTAGAGAAAAAAAATCTTAACAAAAGAATATCTTACATTATAAAAAATTAACCTAGCACGCAAAATGCAGATGTATTAAAAATTAAATAAAACAAAAGAAAAATGTTCTGAAATACAATTTTCAAGAACATGAACTCTTCAATGGTTTCCTCCTGGAAATTAAATTTTTGTCCAAGAATCAGCACATTAACAAAATTTAAACGATCTGAACACCTTTCATTACCTCTAAGGTTGCGAGTAAATTCATCACTGGGTAAATACGAAGTAATTTGATTAAAGAAACATGTTTCCCAGCATCCATAAATTAAGTTATTTAAATCACACCTTTACAACAAAATTTTAGAAGGAAACCATTGATCCATCGCACTTCTTTTGCTGTAAATTAAGTATTTAGAATAAGCAGTACTGAGGAAATAAGTCCTCAACTTTTCAAAATGCTTAATTTGGTAACACAGAAGACTAGGAATATATACATATGCATGTGAGATTCTCTTCCCTAGAGAAAAATGCAAGACTGATGCACCGTCTATTATTCATACATAAAATGACATTAAAATATAATGCCTCCTCATACAAACATGAATGATTTTTGTACATTTCAACGTAGTTTTTTGTACTTTTTTGTATTTATTATTTAGGACCATACAATTCCAGAGGATTACAACCGCCAAATAAATTTGTAGAAGTATCATATTTTCTTATGTTTGCCACATCTCTTTGCCAGAAATCCCAAATTTAATATAATAACAATAATAATAATAATAATAATAATAATAATAATAATAGAAAACTTCCATTCTTACATCATTGTAAATCTGGTATATTCTCGTTCTTAGTTACACACCACGAGGAAATTTCACTTTCCATTTCGAAATATTATCTCTAAAATTTCGAGAGTGGTATACATCAGAAGATATGTTTTACTTAAATGGCATCTTGGAATATTTGTAGAGTCCTAAAACTTTTAATTTTTTTAAGCACTCAATATATTTTATCACATATAAATAACAAGATTTTATCATGTTATTTTTAAAAGGAGCAGAACACTGTGCAAAGGGAAGATATTATGACTAGTGCATGTAGAAAAAGACACCCATGGAACTGTACAACAAAACAGCGTTCTGTAGAGACGAAGTTACTCTTGCAGAGAAATCACTTCTTCAGCATCCCAATCTCTGGAAAATTTTTCTTCCTTTTCCGATTCCCAACTTTCATTTGAGCTCACACTACCAAACCTATTATTAAAATAGAAGTGTTTAATAGTCAATACACAGAAATATCACAGTATCACTCTCAAAATCAGTAAATCATTTCCTATTAATGCAATAAAGCTCATATTAACATTTTGCCAATATACTTAAAAAAGTAACAAGTTTTCTTCGAATTAACAACTTCGATTTGCTTGCGTCTTCTATCTTTAATTACCAGAATGCAGAGAAAATATTAAAGATGTGAAATTGAAAAAATTAACCAAATTAATTAACCTGTTCATTAAACACTTTAACCCAATGAATTCTCAAGGGTCAATTTGAAAAATGTTCAACAATTTTCTGATTTCATTTTTTACATGATCGTAAATATATGTTCAGTCCATTAAAGCAATGAACATATTTGGACAACTGACTGAACAACTGTAGCCCCTAATCTGTTTACAGAACTTTCTTCAAAATTAATAATTAACTCAAGGCTGGGGTGGGGGTGGGGGTGGGGCACTACTATTTTAACTGAATCCCCAAAGACGTCCAGTTTTCTCAAAATTTCCCCCAAATATTTTGCTCAAAGCCTCCTTATAAAAAAGGCACATCAAAATCTCTTAAGTTTCATACATGGCAACTTTGTGGACCATCTCCAAAATATTTCTACAAGTCTAACTGCCTCACTGATAGGGGTACCAGATATTCTGATTTATCAGGACTTGCCCTGATTTTTGGACTGTCATGATTTGTTTTCAAACATCCTGATATTTAATATGCATCCTCTATTTATAGTTTAATTTCATTTTAATATTTTTTAATATCAAATATACAAAAATAAAATTGTGTTACACAAAAAAGTTATATTTAGAATGAAAATTAAGTGATTCTAACTATAATAAAAATAAGTATGTCTCATTGTTATATTTGCAAGGGGTATATTGAAATATAGTTAGGAAGAATCCTTAAAAATAAAGCTGCCAAAATTATATAATTTAAAGTACAGTAACATTTTTTTATATTAACATATAAATTGATCACATAAAAAAAAGTCTGGCCTTTTTGAGAAATGTCCTGATTTTTTCAACTTTGTCTCTGGTAACCCTCGTCATTGAGAGATACACATGTGAATGAGGGATAGGCATAACAAATCATCAGAAATGTATGTTGTCTACCTATACATTCATACACATATGTGTATGGGTGTGCGCAAATTTTATTCTCAAACCTCTGGTGTTCCATTGAGATAGAAGTTTCTTAAGAGATGGTCGATGACTTAATAGGTTAGACGTTCCAATAATATAATAATTACATAACCATTATGCACCTCTATTGATGAATGGTTAGCTTATAGGCCACTTATTCCAAAGTGAGGTGCATGTATTTTCAAAGGGAGGATAAATCTTAGTGTGGCCATGTGATTCTCGTGGCATGTAAAAGAACCCTAGCAGGTGCCAACTAAAATTAAATCCCTCCAGCAATTTCCTATCCTCATGAGGTCTCATGTTCTTCAAACTAGAAAGTTCAGATACAGTAAATCAAGACGACATCTGGTTGTGAGAGTAAATCACATCTAAATGTGCAAGGGGGATGCCCACGGGGCATGTGTGCTTGAAGAAGCTAAGAAGTTCCTTACACCCATGCTGGAGATTGGCTTCATAACGCCAGGGTCAAATACACGGGTGTGGAACTATGGCCAACAGCTGTGTTCCTGCTGTATGCATTGTAGCAGCACAACTAGTTTGATCTAACTAGCCAATTCTATGAACAATTTTTGCGCTTGCATTTATTTGTGTTTCCACATACCAGTAACCCTGTTATTCAAGTAAATCGAAAAAAAAATGTCTGGAAAATTATTCAAGTCGAGGAATAAAAATATTAACATTAGTTTACTTACCTAACTCTAGACGGAGTTTGCAATTGACGCAGTTCATCAATTGTTGGTAATAATGATGTGAGTTTGTCAGTTGGACGCAAATATCTAAGAGTTCGATGTGATAGTTTCCACACCAAGCGTTGACGATAAGGCATTTGGCACTCTGCATTATAATGAGCAAGAATGCTGAAAACAGCATCATGACAGCAGAAGAAAGAAGATTCTGAAATCTAAACAAACAATAGTGTTATAAATATAAATAATTATGTAAACACACACAATCCATTTATATATTTCTGTAATTTTATCTTAATGAAAAACCATAAAAGAGAGAAAATTAGATGCACACAATAATAATACAGTTTCATTGTATTTTCTTTTCAAAATATTAAAAATGGGTGTCTAATAGAAGATCCTGAGAAGTACAGAAGAACTTATCCTTGATATAAAATGGTTTTGAAACAAAATTTCACATTATGAACATGTATTCAATGAAGACCTTAAGATTATTTTAAATTCCTATTAGTATCAAGACCAAAGTTCGGAAAAATATATACACATGTATGTCTTAAGAAAATGTAACGTGTAAAAGGAGATACAATATGTTACATCAAAATACACTTATTTACAGAACAAATTTTAAAAATTTGCAGTATGAGGCCTAATGGCATTAAAATTATTTTCAGAGTATGTTTTTATCTTTGAGGAAAAGTGCCCTCGTACAAACATACTAATTCCCGCTTTCACTATAGAATTCTCTTTGTAGTGCAATACATCTGTAATAACTAATATTTCGTGGAATATTAACGATCAAGAAACACAATGTCACCTACACTTTCTACAACTAGTATTCATGAACGATAAACAGAAGATAGGTACAGAAACACACTGGGTGCATCCAGCCATGCCTTCATGTGGGGCACTTCAGTTTGTCAGCACACAATTCTAGATATGCGTAATAGAAAACAATATGCTGAGTTTTGAAATAATAGTTATTTATGTACCTAAGAGTTCTAATGACCAAACAGCGATACAAACTCTGAGGACGTCACCTGAAACCATATCAGTTAACACCCATACTACATACAATTTTCTTTAAAGCTAAATTTACTTATTCACTAAATAGCACGATGCTAACGTGACCGTTTGTCTTTTCACATTTCTCTCCATAAGAAAACACACAGCATCATTCAACGGTCTTCATATTTCCCTCATAACCTTGTTCTCGATTCAGTTACGATATGTAGTGTACATCCAGCTCGGAATTAAAGACAAAAACAAGCAATTACATATCAGGAAAAAATAAAAACCTATTTATCAAATATTTTTTGTGAAATAAATTTCAAGAGCATAGATATTTTTTAAATATTATTATTATTACTATTATCATCATTATTATTATATTTGTTACTGAATGATCTTACATTCAGAACAAAATAAACCAGTGTATTAATTGTTCCTTTTTCTAATGGACAAATTTTGCAGAAAATGAGAGCCTTCACATTTCTTATCTTTAAAACACTATAAAATCCACTATTCAAAGAATAAGATGAGGAGAGGGAAGCATTTATGCAATTGAATACTGCAGATCACTGACAAATCTGTGTTTTCTAAACATCTACATTTCTTCTCAGATTCACCATTAACATGGCAATGGATTAAATACGCTGGAAAACCCAAAGGATACAAAATGGACTGAAATGGACACAAGTGACTGGAGATAAACACATTAAATCCAGAATTGGCTGGGTTATTTTTTTTACTAATACAGAAGAATCCACTCTAATCATGACATGATTCTTTGAGAGCAAGACTTTTCTAGTCGTTTCATACACTTATTACACAAGGATGCCATCTTTTTTTAAATCTGAGGGAAATAAGGTAATTGTTATAATTTACACAGCAGTCTTCCATTTCCATTCAACAGAATTCCATTTTAAAACTTTACCTGACTTTTAGTGAATAACAAAAGTAGTTAACACTGCACTGCACATAGGCAGTGTTTGGACTGCCTTCTAAACATGTATATATAAAAACAGTTGACAATGAAAGGAGTGAGAGTGAGTAGGAAAGGCACACATGCAAACAAACACACATCCACACCTCCTGTTTGAAGACATCTTTACTCACCACATAGTATCGCATTTTTTTTTTCTTTCAAATCTCATATAGTGTAATTTTGTTGAACAGTGACCGCTTTGCAGGAATAGTTTTAATACAACCATCTGCCTATTTTGTGAAACTAACTCTACTGCACAAACAAAATGCAATTTGGTTTGTGCTGTGTGTGTATTTGTATTTTGTATATTCTGATACTTCAATATATCTCCTTTTATTTCTTCAATTGTATTACGTATTTATTATTATCCATCTTCTATACAGTGATCATTTTTCTATAAAGTTGACATTATGTTATTGCATCTCACTGACGGGAATCCTACATTGATAATTAAGGTGAAGCCTGCCACTGGAATGCTTTTGAAAAATGTAAGTCATCGAAGAGTTATATGTAATTTATGTAGTATCCTTGATTTTGAGGATGACCACTAAAAGTCAATTGCTCACATGAGAAAATAACTGTCACCAGAACATGCTGCTTTAACCAGTATCTGGTCAGCTAATTTCTGCAAAACTGAAAATAATAATTAATGGATGCAGAGCTGCCATATGCAAGATGATGTATTATAACTCCAAGTGTTGAAAAGTATTAATGTAAATAAAATAAATGCAGAAAGTTTAGACTTTTTCCTAACACGAGTCGCATGTTACCCCATGGCTTAATTTTCACTCATTTTCAATGTTTTATATGACCTTGGAGTCTTTCTGTTTAGTTTTTACATAAAGTTATTGTATTGTTTTGGAGTTATGAAGAATTAATTTTGGTTATATTGGAGGAAATCCATTAGAAATTCCCAAAAAACTATGAGCTATCCAAACACCATCACACATGTATTGTTATGGCAACGGATAAAAACAGTGAGGGGTTAATGACCAGAAACAAACCTCACATTTTGATAAGTGTGTTCAAGCTGATCACTATCTATTTGTCTAACATTTTAATCTCTGTATAATATTGCCTCTAATGATAATATTAAGAAAAATAGTAATAACAGTACACAATGTATGAGAAATACTTTTTTGCTAGTAACACTTATAATATTTACAATAATTCAATAATATTCATCGCACCTTACAGATTTTCTGAAGCTCCATGGCAAATCCAATAAGTTGCATAACTTCAGCACTGGCACTGGAACCTGAACTGTGATGACTTTTGGAAGTTAATTTTGATACTCCCCCTTCTAGCTGAGTACACAACAACACTAAAGCAACTTCACAAGCTCTAAAATTTGCACATGATCCATCACAGGCTATTATCTCCAAGCACAGCCACATAGTTGACTCATCAACGATACTTTTATAAAAAGATAACAATCCAAGGCTTTTCGCAGCAGCAGAAAATAGTTCGTGAAATAGCTGGAGAAATGTCAAAGGAGTTATTGGCAAGACATTTGGTTCTGCACCAAGTTTGCACGAAATTATGTCCTCCATTCGTGCCAAATCCCCAAGAGTACACTTGCACTGGGAAATAGTGACAAGGTCTCTAGAATCAGGTACAATCCAATCTGAATCACAGTCAACCTTCTGTCGATGTTGCATCACTTCTTTGCAGGCAAGATGGAATGAACTGACAGCAATACAAGCCATATATTTTGGCCTTGCCTAAAACAAGAAAAATAATGTATAAACCACAACTCAACACAAAACTACTTAATTATTCTTTTTTCATCTACACACCTTCATCTTTGTTAGAAACCTATCCATTAGGTTAATAGCAACAAACAGGACCTCACTGGGAAGATCATACCACACTTTTAAGCAGCGTAGTACATGGGCAGACACTCCTCTTATCCCTGTTGTAATTTCAGTTGATGCCTAAACAAACAAACAAGTTAGAGCATTAACAAGTTTCTTAATCCTCTTCAATTTTCCCAACAAGGAGATTTAATGGTTTGTTTCAGAATTACTTTGAAAGTTAACATCAATTACAGAGCTTCCTATGACACAAAGTTCACTTATACACAAATTGATTGAAGGCAAAAAAAGAAAGAAAAATAAATCAATATTTTGGACAATTATTCACAACAGAGTTTATCAATTTCAATATTCAGACACCTTTTATTTTGTAGCCTGAGTAACTGAACAAAGCTGACCTAGCCAATGAATTCAAATTTCTTGTATTTTTGGTGCAACGTAAGTCCTTAACATGGCAAATGGCTAACTTATTATCTTTAGCTTTGGCATTCTTGTAATTGAAAGAGAGCAGTCACAAAGCAGTTTTGAGAACAAAACAAAGAGCTCAAAGAATTTCCTTACAAATCTTTCTTTTACGATTAGGGGATGGCAACATGACATTGTGAGGTACATTTCTGTTACACCCTCATTACAACAGTGAGGAAATAAATGTTGTTCTCTCCACACTAGGGATTGATTGACTGTTACTGATTCTGAGCGCATCAGCTGTTAAGGTAATTAGTCTTGAAGTCTAGAGCATGTCAGGAGGTGATCTCCCCTTGCTGGACGATGAGAATCGCACCAACCTTTAATTGGCTGGAGGGGATTTTCCCCTACCAGGTATCCCCCTCCACATGGGCCACCCCAGCCTAAGCTTCCAACAATTCTCCCTTCGTGTAGTTGAAGTATGTGTGTGTGTGTGTGTGTGTGTGTGTGTTTGTATATATGTGTAAGTAAGGGTCCCCCTTAATACTTTACTTATAATATAATATACTTATACTTTCATTTCTATAAACCAGCATCACATTTCATATTTGAGTTTACCTTTAATTTTTTTACTCCAAGTTTCATGTGAAAAATTTTGTTCACCTCTTTCTTTACTTGCCTAAATAGTTACATTTAATTAATGATTAGATAGAGGTAGGAATTGTAATTTAAATTTCTAGCTGAAACATTTTTTGTAACTTAAAAGGGCATAGTTAACCACTTAATCGTGATGAATGGGTCAGGCACTACATCAATTTAAGTGATACTGCACATGCTTTTTATTTTCTTACTTCACCTGAGTTGTGCTGGGAAGTTTAAGATTAGCTTGGAATTTTGTTTCCAAGCTCAGAGCTTCATTCAACTGCATAACAAGTGGATGAACATTATCGGATAGGCCCTGATCCATGTCTGAGGTTTTTTATTTTTAATACAATTTACCCCAAGACCTGGTTCAAAAAGGGCCTTGATCCTATAGGCAAAATAATTAAAATTAAACACAAAAAGAAATATGCTGGAACATTATTTCAGAATGTTAACATGTGACATCAGCTAATTGTTCAAGGTCACTTGTAATCTAAAATTGAAACAAACATCTAAGCTTAAATTTAAGAAATCTAGGGAATCTTTACTTACAATTCATTTAAATGAAAATTACCATTTCCTTGCCAATTTCAATTCAATTTATAATACTTCCTACAAAACTTTCCTGGTGGGTCTTATTAAAATTATGTTTGAAACCTGCAAAAGCAACCATGGTTATCCTTGACCTGGTAAAAACAGGCGTTATCGATTCTGATAACTCAAACAAATTACACATGAAAAAACAATTTTCGATTTTTCATTTCACACAGAAATTTATAATTATAAAATTCTGAACACAACTGAACAAAGAGAGAGGGGAAAAACAAGTAAAAAAGGAGCAAATCCTTTTAACCAGAGGCAAGACTGTTTAAATTAGATATTTTCTCAGATGTTTCTAAAGTTTCAGCTGTATTGGAAATGTAAGAAACATTCCTTAATCGTAAAAGCCCAAATATCATGTAAACATGCAATTCATTAACACAATGGCACCTATTTTTGTAATCAATAACTTACCGCAAAATAATTTTCAACCGAAGTACGACGGAATAATATAACTTCGAACATACACTCAATAGTTTCTGTACATACAATGATAGTTACAACGTACAAAATTCAAAACTGACAGATCCTATGGCGTCGTTACTTCACTCGCAGCTGACAAAACGACTTACTGTACACATGCGCTGAGAAATAGTGCGCATTATCGCACAAATCATTATAAACACTTATTCAATTACACTTACAAAGTCTTTTGGAATGGAGGAATGAATAGCATGATGTATACTAGTATTACATATCTTAAGTCTATAATTAAAACTGATTGTGTTTGGTGTTTGGGTGTATCAGCCGACTGTTCATGTGGTTGCCATGTAGAACATTTCATATTATTTCATGTCTATCACACCCTTCACAAACTGAAAGGCACACATAAAACCAATTGTAACTAAGTATACATATTTGCTTATAAACGAATACACAGTAATATAAGAAATAGTTGAGAAAAAACATGATTGTATGGAGGATATGGCAACACTGCAAACTAATTCAAAGTTCGCAGCGCGCACGATCTCTTGAAGGTTGAAGATGATGTAATTATAGAATGATGCAATATATTCATCACATTCGTGAAAAAGAAATGCAGAGATGTTTTCTTATTTTCATTATTTCGTGTTCTTTGGTACGTTATTATAGAAATATTGCTGTTTCACGATTTTCAAAGTAATGTTACGGATCCAAGCTGTGAAGTTACATGAACATATTAGCACCGATTTGAAATATTTTATCAATGTCACATTCAGTTTCATTAAAATTCAAATTGTAATTTTAAAAAATTATGTGGAATATTTAAAAACATTTACACAGCTGTATTAAGGTATATTTGGAATATCTTAATTGATTATCAATTTACTTCGATAGTAAGGAAACAATGAAGAAAATAAAGAGACGAATAAAGGAGTTCCATTTAATACCTACGTCAGGTATACATGTCCTGACAATTACTTTACCTTTTCCAAATTTTACGTTTTGTTTTTCGAAATGGCTTCAGAGCGATATTGAAATTCCCGGTTCACAAAAACACAATGTGGTAATGACTGCCAACATACAAATTCATAATGAAAACTCTTTATTATGCAACAGACTCTGTGAATTTATTTACATGGCAATATTTGCACTTATTGAAACAATAATTTCTTTTTTAAACTATTTCTTGGAAATTGTGCTCATTACTTTCTTGTTTTAAGTCCTACACTTTCTGTACTGTGGTGGTGTAAAGATGGTAATGTATTACAAATGAAGAACAAAATGCGCACACACGTGTGAAATGTGCGACTATGTGTTGTTTATTCATTTGACAAGTGCGTTAATGTGAAATTTTGCGGGCTAAGACGTAAAAATGAGCGATTTGCCATCCGAAGACGTTCTCACGAAATTAAAACAAAACTTTGGGCACGATGGGTTTAAAAGTGACTTGCAGATGCAAGCGACACTCGCTGTCATTAAAAGTATGAAAATTCATTCCTGTTGGATTGTGCACTGTGCGCATTCATTGGTGTTAATTTGAATTTGTTCTTGATTACAGGAAAAGCAGATGTTTTCATATCAATGCCAACGGGAGCTGGAAAATCTTTATGTTTTCAGCTACCTGCTGTGATTCAAGATGGGAAAGTGGCTGTAGTTTTCTCGCCTTTGTTGGCTCTGATGAAGGTAGGAAAATTAATTCCCACAGCTTGCTAATTATTATTCTATTCTACGTTCCAATTTCTTCCATTTCATTATAAAAATGTGCTGTTCTTACTACTGTTGTAAGTTAATAATAACAGGCGACTCACCTTTGATGGGTTTCTTCTTATGTTCGTACTTTTTTCTTTCTCTATGTATGTCAATGTACCAACATCTGTAACTGCCTTACTTCTTTTTCTTTATTGTCCATTTATTATACATTTCTTTGTATACACCTCAGACATGCCAACTTCATGTCCATTTTAATGTAATGAGATGATTCTCTTTGAAATCCTATTCTTTGAATTATATTGAACCCTTTAATATTTCTCACATGTTCTGTTGGCTTAAATTAAGGATGTTTATAATTAGCAAAAATACATGTTTGATATTAGTTTTGTATACATATTTCTAACAATAACTAATGCTAAAATGTTAAATTTGCATTGCTGTTTTTGAAGATTTTTTTCCACTGTAGGTTGAGGAGTTACTGTAGACGCTTGCTTTCAAATTTCATTAGCCATTTATCTGTGTTCAAATGTTCTGTCTGTAATTGCTTCTTGCTGATGTTTGAAATATGAGAGTTATATGTGCAGTTTTGCTGATAAAGTGAGCAGCCATAGTATTTTATAAAACAAATGGTTTAGCATTGTCCATTTCAATATTAATTGTAATCTTTATTCTAATGTGGTTTAAGCCAAATGAACACAATGGCAAACATTTGTCATTGGGTGATTAGGGTAATCATGTTGTATATGGTACGATATATGTTTCCTATTCTTTGGGGATAAAATAAGCAACTAGTAGTGCTACGAACAGCAATACTTTCCTGCAATATTGGTAATGGTTGTGTAATATAAAATTGCTTGAATATACATATGTGTAATGTTTGAAAATTTAAAAGATAAGTGCATCAAAATAAGTTTGTTAGGTTTTAAGTGCATTTAGCTCTATCCATTCAAAAAGTTTAAAGAAAAACTTTGGTGCCATTTGAGAAAATGTTGACAATGTCATTGGGGTTTCATGTAAAGTACTCCCCAATATACAATTAAAATTCAAGGGGCCAAGGCATCAGACAGATTGATTGAGAAATTCCAATTTTAGTGAAAATCCTGCTTGTGTTGTTCACAGGCAGACCAACAGACTTGGATGAATGGACAGACATATACTGACAGATGCAGGCAGTCTGAAAGACAGATACAAATGAGCAGTTACAGACAGACAGACAGGCAGGCAGTTATAGAAGGGCAGATAGATTCAGATTGGTAGAAAGATATATACAGACATCTACAGACAGATATATACAATCACAGAATGACAGAGACAGACAAACAAACAAACAGACAGACAGATGTTTTGCTGTAAACCAGTTTTTTGTTATCAAGAACTCACCGAACATGAATTTTGTCTGCACATGTTAGAGGAAGTAATTTGCTATATAGAGGAATATAAATTTTCCAATTTTTGTGAATCAGCATAGGTGTGCATAGCCAAAACCATAGGGGGCAACATTTCTGAGCCCTTCTGGGGTCCCTTTTGCATTGACCTTTTTTATTTTCACTTGATATATTCTTCTGCATTTCTGATAAAGAAAACAATTAAATCCTCAGTTCTTGAGGAGTTAATATACAAGCTCGAGGATTTTTATTTTTTCTGTTAATAATTACATGATCCTTCAAGTATAGTTTGCAACCCATTTTCAAGTCCTCAAAATAGTTGAAATTACAGTTCCAAGGTTACTATACTTAAAATATTTACCATTGGATATAAGACTATAAAAATGTATAAAATATTCACAATATAAAAACCAATACCATACAAAAAATATCACTGAATTATAATGCCAGTAAAACATTGTAGTCCCAATGAAATGACAAAATAAATGATACAGTCGACAAAAAATGTTAGATTCTATGTTGAAGCATTTACAGGGTTGGAGATTGTTTGGAGAGCTTCTTTCCCATTCCCATTCAGTATCAATTCCCCAAACTATCAGCTTAAGAAAGGGGGAACTTCAGGAACTGATTATACTATGTACAGAAATAAAATATTTTATTATGAAGCTCTTTTGAAGTTTTCAGAGGGCCACGGACCGCTCTGTGGCCAGACCTATGGGTATCATGGATACCCATACAATGGGAGCAATACAATACCACTTTATGTAGTGAAAAATCACCATGTAGCATTACATAATTTTCTCTATACTACATAAGAAGTATGCAACAAAATAAAAATTAGGTCATACCCTCAAAACTGCTTTTGTGATCCCATACATTAGAAAAGTGTTGCATAAGTTCAAAGGACCTGACCATTTTAATTTTTATGGTACTCACATTCCATATTATAGTGTTTATGTGCTGATTTAAATTAATTTTTCCATGTTTCAATCTGCAAAGTATTCTCTATAAAAATTGAAAAAGATGTGAGTGATTAAAAAACTGAAGTACTAACAACAAACCAAATTATAAATATAACAAACACCTAGTGAATAACTTTGATATACAAATTACTTAGTAAAGAAATAATAAAAATGTATTTTTATTTCTTTCTTTAGCACACTTTGAAGTAGTTTTCATTTTCTAAATAGTGCTGTGCTCACAGCAACCCATGGTGTGATACAAATAGGCCTGACACGTTATGGGAGTTTGTCTTAAGACGTTCAATTTTAGGATATTTCAGTAAAATAAAATTATTGGGGGGAATGTAGTATATTGTTTGAAGTTGTGTTTAAGTGTCTGTTTCCCTGTTTATGTTTACATTCCCACCTACTATGTACTTACATAATGAGGAGAAAGTATTGTAATGTTGCAGCAGTATTTAGCAATTTTTTGTCAGAAACATTTTTTTTGAGGGGCCCCTGATATCGAAGAACAGGATAAATCCTGTTCCTATTAACGTCAAATTGATGTATTCTTTTGGTGTATTAAAAGCTATCCAATTGTAATATTTTTAAATATCTCTCATGTTAATATTTACATCACTGGCATTTTAAAAAAAGTATTTTTGCATTTATAAGTACAAGTGCTTCAAATTATTTCGTTTGAATTTTCTCGAAAACTCAGATAGTTACTGTGAAAATGAACTAAAAAAAAAAAAAAAAAGTTTTACTTTCTCGTATACATACGTATGTATGGAGTAATGTTCGTAATGTAAGGAAACTTTTGTAGTGTTGCGAAAAGTCACTTTCGACTAAAATTCACGTTTTGGGGTCCCCTGATACCGAAAGTGTTCTTTTCAAAACGTCAGCCAGACCGTCCGTCCGTGAACACTACCAGCGCCTCAACCATGCGTAGGATTTTTTCCGATATAAAGAAACCCGTGTCTATGTGGCTCGAGACGAATCTTTCACATTTTGAAAAAAAAAAATCTTTAAAATTTGGGGGTACTTTACATGTTGCCCTATAGACATTTTCAAAAATTTCTCAAAAACGGCTTCAAATTTTTTCTTTAATTTTTTTTTTGTAAGTATAGAGTAACATAGACTTATAAAGGTGGCAAAGGTCCGATTTCACGGTTAACTTTGAATTTTCGAAAATTTCTGAAGTATGAATTTTTTCGGTGTCTCTTACACCTACAATATTGAAGATACAGATTTTTCCTTCAAATAAAAATTGTTCTACACAGTGAGTTCTTTCATTAAGGTCATGTACATTGTTTGGAAAGTTTTAGTAGTCTTCGAGCAATATGTGCAATTTTAAAAAAATTACAAAAACTAGATTTTCTCAAAATAGATCCAAATTTTTTCTTTAAATTTTTGGTAGAGATAGTGATAAATGTACTCTATACTCTATCTGAAGGTGACATATACGCCATATTGCTCTATTCTTTCTTTCAGAAACTACAAAAATGTAATTTTTTTATTTGCATTTCATGTCGTTAATATTTATATTAGTGACAATTTGTTTACATTATTATATTTATGAGTACAGGTGCTTTAATTAATGTCATTAAAGTTTCTCGAAACCGTACCGTTTTCTGTGAAAACTAGCACTCAACACTCAAACTCCATTTTCTCAAAAGCGAGTGCAAATTGTTTCCTCAAATATTTCGAATGGATAGTGCTAATTCCACTTTTTTTTAAAACAATTACACAAATTCACATTTTTGAAAGATCTCTCACGCCGTTGTTGTGCACATCTCCAGCAATTTGTAAACACTATTGTATTTGTGAGTTAAACTACTTAAAATGACTTGAAATTAAGTTTTTTGAAAACTCACAAATGTTCTATGGTCAAGAGCTTGAATTTCGAATTTACAGTATCGCATAAAGGCCATTTTTTTAAAAACGGCGATAGATTGCAGCAGGCAAGGATATGTGGCAAGTTCGAATAGCTAGCCGAGACCAAACGAAATAGAAAACTAATACGGGGAAGCCTGTGCCATTTTGTAGCACCACTAGTTACTTTCTCGTTACGGTGGTAGAGAGAAAGTTATATAATTGTGCGCGTGAAAACGGCGAAGTATTACTGGACCCTGGCAACAAAGAAGTGGATAAATCCAAATGTTAAATTTAGAAGAACAAAAAAGCACCCTAACGTAGCCAGAATCCATGTTTTATTGGTGTTTTATACCGAAAATCAAATGACGACAAAACGTGTCCTTCCGTCCGTCTTGTATGTCCGTCTGTAAGCAACGCTAGCGGCTAAACCGTTCAGCCGATTTTTTTCGAAAATTGGCATTCCCCTGTCGATCTGGTTGATGTCGTGGCCCTTTGAATTTGAAACCGATATTTAATTTTAGGGCGTACTTTACATGAACATTTTAAATTTTTTTAAATTGGCTCCATAGTTTTTGATTAAATTTTGTTGTTGGATGTTGTGAAGGACGTTTTAAAGAGAGATGTAGGTCTCACGTTCGTTGAAAACCTTGATTTTTTCGAAATCTGCAAAAATTGTTTGGCGTATTCTTGCAACCATAGTAAGGAAGATATTTTCTCCTAATGAAGCATGTTACTTAAAGATATATTTGCAAATAAGGTCATGTAT